ACCAAAATAAAGGCTCTGACTAGTTTCCAATTAATCGTAATAATTGCTGGTGAACGTTGCTATGTATTGGGATATGTGGGGCTATTTATTTTAACCACACCTGGTGTTCATTGCCGGCGGGCCGTGCTCAGGCGCTCTTGTTCAGAACAGCCATTCTTCTGGTAAATAATGAACGGATATTGTTCGTCGTTCGGTTAAAACTTTAATACGTAGCGTGTGCTTGTGGTGCATTTTTTAAGATCCTTCTGTAAATTGTTTGCCGATGTATAAAGTGATTCTGTTTTGATAGGTTTTTGGGTATTGATCGGTGATACGAAATCAGTTTTCGTTTAATATTTTTATATCAATAGATCAAAAACCTTATTACCTATTTGGGTGTTTGATATTCTTTTGATACACAAAATAGCTTTGAAAAATAAGGGTTTTAAATGGAAATATTTATAAAAAAAAACTGTCGATAAACACACGTATTGAAGCAAACTAAATTGAACACGATTGATGGCTATTGATCCACTCTCAAAATACTTTGTGCATTCAAATAAAACTACACATCGACTCCAGGGCGGTCCGGATCAATTTTCTGTTTACAACCCAATACCATCAAAGAAATCCCGACTGGTATACTAATTGACCGTAATAGTACACTTATAAACCAACTTAGTTCGATTTACAACCCGACAACTGGACGTTCAACTTTTTATATATATAGGTAAGTATTTAGTTAATTAGGACAGTAAAAAGTTCCTTTTATAATTATTTAAATTAGTTATTTAGAATTTATTTTTATATTGACGTACAGTTCGGTTGAAAAATTTATTGGTACTGTAAAGGTAGGTAGTATTTTTATTGCTATAAAAACGCTGAGAGTGAATAGGTTGACGGCTGCCCCCGATAATGACGGATGCATTTTTAAAGCCTTCGCATCGATGTCGATATTATTATGACCTACTTGAAATTGCAGTTATTAGTCTACTGGGTTATGCGACCAACCGTTTAAGCGACTTTAGAAAAGTATTCTACTGTTTTATAGTGCCATAGTTATTACATTCCTGTAATCGTCTTGGAAATAAATGGTATGCAGAAGCAAGAATAGTCGTTTGCAATCTTGAGAGGGTTTGAAATGGCAAAAGGAAATGAAATCTTCTCAAATGATCTCTCGCGATGGGGTTGCCAATTGTCGAGCCTACCGCTTAGAAATTGACACCCCATAAGCCTTGTAAGGAAAAATCTATGAAATTTTGTTTTCGTCGTAAAACAGAAATAAAGCCTTTGTTTCTTTCACTGTTTAAATTTTTTATGTTATGCAGGAAAAAATAAAAGTAGATATATTTTTTCTGGTTACATTTAACAGTACGAATAGTAAGTCAATTTATTCTAAACATGACGTTAATAAACCCGAGTCCTCTTAAAAAAAGGAGCATCAAAGCTTACGAGAATTGAATCTTAGATAGCTTGCTGAGCAGTGACTACTCTATACTTTTAAACCAACGATGTAGTTTTATTTAAGCATCTTCAAATTGCAGTAGATCAAATATACACAAGACAAAATCAACACAAGGCGGCGTGAGTCCATTGAGATGAGATCTCACGTCAATGCATTCTTAGGAAATCTGTTAGTCAAATATTACTTAATCGCGCGCACACAATAAGCGATTTTAATACTAAATAATCATTAAATATTTTCCCTTGCCGTTCGCTCTTCGAATGCACCGTTGAGTCAACCATAACTTGTTTTTACTAAATATTCGATTACTGGTTGCTTTTTTAAAGTTTGTCGATTACTTCCGTCGATTTTTTTACTGACTTTACGTACTTAACTAAGATAACATTACCACGATTACACATACTTATTGGCATTCTGATATTTCTATAGAAGTAGAAACTGAATAATATATGACAAAAAACCAGATCCAATTTAAATCTCTGTTATAACCAAAACATGTCTAAATGAAAATCGGTAAACAAACCTATGAATCGAAAATTGATGCTTTAACTCATCGAGTACCGGTTTTGTAGATACAATTATAGAACAATAGGTTGCGGTCACCGGTGACCGCTTGGTGTTTGACAGTTTAAATCGGGAATCGAGTATGAAACTGTAAACGTTATACTACAAACTTTAAGTCTTAAATCGTTGGATTCATTATACAGATATATTTGATCCAACTTTTTACCCAGACGGCACTTAATGCATAGTAGCATACATAATGCGAAGCACTTAATTTTGACGCCGACTGTACATCTGTACATCTGAATTTGTTTGCAGAATTCTTTATTCAAATAACAACACGTTTTATATATATTTTTCGTTTTAAAAAATAACATTACATCACGCCTTTTATCCCCGAAGGGGTAGGCAGAGGTGCACATTATGCCACTGTACAATGTAACACCCACTTTTCACTATTTATATTATAAGTGCCATGTAATAGAGGGTGAACATATTGCCATATACCGGGCACAATTCCAGACTCCGTGAGATTGTCACTGAGATTTTTTTTAAAAACACAGTAGTATTTTGCTCGACCCGGGAATCGAACCCGAGACCCCTTGTCCGGCTTCGCAGTTGCGTTCAATCGGCCAACAACGCAGTCAATGTATTGAAACATACATTTAAAAAATATATAGAGGTATGTATAAAATATATGAATACAGTAATATTAAACACAGTAAATCTAAGTACTTAATAAATAAAATAACACAAATACTAGTAAATATTGGAATATCTCATGTTAGTTAGTTTTATTAGGTGTCTAGCCCGCTAGTCATAAATATATGACATGCCTAATAAATAATTTAAAGTCAACTTTTAACGAACCGCCTAAAGATATTTGAATAAAAATGCAAATTCACACTTCGATGCTAATTAGACTTCGCTCCACATAATTTATGTATGTAAATATGTAGCTGTACAACATCTATACTTTAATTTTAATTCTATATAAATATAGAACATAAACTAACACTACACTGTGAAATATTTAAAGATACAACATATTTTAACATCTAAACGCAACTTAATTCAAATAAATATATTCTAAACCCGTACATTCCAAATTCAACATTATAATATTATTATTCAATTCATAGGAAATATTTTAAGAATAATCCCCTACACTATTTATTTTCCTTCCACCCTAGATAATCTGTAGTTAGATTTCCATGTTTTTTTTATTGCAAATTACATTTTATTGTGAACTTTCTGAGGTCGACATAAGAGCTACTTGAGGAAATCACAATATACAAGTGAGTGCTATGCGGTGCCAACGACTTATTTTTGCTCTAGATATTTTGTTCAAAGGCTGCGTTCATCAACGCATACTATATTCCTATTTATAGAACAGAGAATTAATCTAATTATACTTAAGTACTGACCTGTTATAAAAGTTTTAATTCACATATCATGAAATCGTTTTTAATAAGCTTTAACATAAGGTATTATAATAATAATATCTCCAACGCACAGAGTTACGTAAACAAAGTTCACAAAGCGATTATTTTTAATTAAATACCCAGCAGCATTATATAACAGAATCCACGAACAACCCGAACCTACATAAAACCTTATTAAATAAAACTTCAGCATGATTGAACATCATTGGAATACCTTCTAAAAATCTAAGCGGGACTTTAACCCATAATCTGTTAGCCTAGCTGGTAGTCAAAGGTTTGTAGAAATATTTCCAGCGTCTAAAGTGGAAATTCCTCACGTGAACCACCTATGCTTAGGTCCCGCTCCCTGACCAACACGTAGTTCCTAACGTGTTATAGATTCACTAGTAAAGAAAAACCCCTTTGAGAGCTATCTCTCAGCAAATTCTACCTCTAATTTCGTTTGCTCTATTACGCTGATACGAACGTGAATATTTGAATTAAATACACGTGTGAACACTGAAGAAAGAACTCATATAAATAAATTCACACCACAGAAGTCAGAATAAGTACCTTTTCATAAAGAAAACTTTGCGTACAACTGATTCATAAATGATAAAAGTCCCATTCTATGTTCAGACGTAAGTTATAACTTGATTTTAGTAACTTTTCCGAACAAAATATCGTAGTAGATATAATATTTGGATCGTAACAGTAACTAATGAAATGTATATTATTATCGATGAAAGATGTCTTATAAATAAATCAAAATAAACGGCATGAGATGTCGTGATAAATCAAAATATATATCGTTTGAAGAAACAAGGCTTATCACTGACAATAACTCATTAATATTTGATGGCTGAACTACTTATTGAGACATAAAATGTACATCTGCATTGGATGTTATCGTTCGGAATACTAAACAAACCGTTACTTCAACGATAAAGTATCAAAGTTGTTCGAATCGAATCAAACTGGGTTGGTCTATGAATAAAAATGAACAAGTCGACGAGGAAAAGTTTAATTTTCATTAATAACCCTATTTTGTGGCTGTGTCATATTTTCCATACGAATATTTCCGTGTTTACAAATGTGTCATATTTATGTGACAGACTCACAGTTTTCATCAGAAGTAAATTATGTTTAATTACATGTTTAATTTTTATACTACAAGAAACACTTGAGGCGTTGCTTATGAAAACACTTTTCTAATTTATAGTTTCGTTTAACTTTTTAATTGAAAGCTTTTAACTTTGACGTTGTTTGTTTTGTATGTACACATATTTTGAATATACTTTATAACTATTTTCTTCAAATAGAGAAATAAATTAAACTGTTTATGGTGTCTTCAGAAGAATACTCTAACAGACAAGAACTTTGCTTTCAAGTTCATTGAATTTATTAATTTTAGATGGCATCCATAAAAACCAATATATCAGCAAGGTTAAATGCTCACATAAAAATAATTCTAAACAACAATAAAAATATAACTATTATCTCCCTTTGAAACAAGGTTGTTAGAGTCGACGACCTAATAATAACGTCGTATCACTTAATTATAGCCTACAGCTACCCAGGAAGGGTTTGTTCGTACAATTAAAAATGAAAAGCAATTATTTCCATACCTTGTATCGAAGAAATGAAGTTAATTTTCAGTAAAAGTCCATTCACGTTAAAGATGCGAGCAGTTATTAAATAATCATACAGTCACTGAAAACCGGTACAATATTGTAATAGTCCACAGGGTAGCACAGAGCACGATCAAATCCAGTTCGAGGCACACAACACACCAATAATGCTCTATTAATTAATTTCAATTTATGTTAATTACGGAATCGGGTACGATGCGATAGCGAAAGGGGAAGACGGGGACGCGTGCGCTCAGTTCGCGCGCCAAGCGTGGACTGCCGGCTGGCGGCTAGAAGCATTTCTAAATATACACCCCCCGAACGTTTCCCGCGCACCCTATGGGCGCAACGCGTGTACCATGCAATTTTCTATAAATTTTCGCATAAGCTCCGAAGCCGCGCTGTCAAAAGCTGTTTTTACTGAAGCTCGCCCCCAAACGTTGTGTGCACGCTTTAATTGAATTAAGTGTAATGCGGGATTTTGAAAAGTAAATTCAATGTAAGCACACGTGGAAGTAACCTGCATTGCATTGAAACTATGATAAACATTTCTCGTTATTTGACATTTACATCTAGTTTTATTTAACCGCTACCGGTATCAATAAACAGTAAAGGGGACGTTGTGAATGACAAATTAGTTTCCGTAAGCATTAAATTATGCTAATGATTGTTAAATTAGTAGAGGCAAATTGCTGCATAATTCTGCCGAATATTGTGGCGTAGCGCTACGGTTTTTCGTAGCCGCTTCGTAGCGCTTTTTGCTAATTCCCAATTATCGTGAGACAGAAGTTTTAGACCCCTCGAATAGAATTGAAATCATCACAGATCTGTCTTTGTCTGAGACTGGATGAGTTTTATGTAAATACAACATCATTCCAAAAAGTTTTAATTGAACAACATACCTACTCCGCTAAAGTATTGAGATAAACTTTTGTTTTGTTTGAAATATTATTTTCTTTGCGAATTCATTTGTTTATCAGAACGGGAATAAATCAACGGAATTTACTTTTCTTGTATTTTACAACAGTTATGTAACTTGTAAAGATGTGAAAATATAAACAGAGCTCACTTTTCGTAAAGGCAACTGAGATCGATGAGGCTACACAACACTTATGAGTCTACAGTTCATGAGACTCAGTTGTTAAAATATTAATCGTAAATAATATTCTCAAAAAAGTCAAAAGTCAAAATCATTTATTTCAATTAGACCAGTGAGGCACTTTTGAACGTCAATAAAAAATATTAAAAGTGAAGCTATTTGCTCATTCCAAGGTGTAGATTCCTATGGAGAAGAACGAGCAAGAAACTCCATAGGTTACTCTTTTCCAATCAAGTTCACAATACAATTCTCTAGTTACATACTTTTGTTGTTTGGGTAACTTTTTTTTTTTAAGGGGGGAAAATCATCGAATGACTGCTCCCGCCTGGGTGAGGCGGGAGGAAGTGTCAGACTCTTACTGACTAAAAACCACCCCGTTCCTCCAACCCTGTTCCACTCAAAAACTGGTAGGTATGATGAAAATTGGTAGGTAGGTAGATTAGAACCAGGAGATGGACATAGGATACTTTTTATCGAATACTTTTTTTTACATTTTACCGATAATCACGGGAACGGGTAAAAACGAGATTGCGCATACTAAGTCGCAGGCAATAGCTACAATATAAATTTCTCAGATTAAATGTGATTGTAATCTGTTACAAGAAGAATAGGAGCAAAAATAAAATTTTCTTTTTAAAATAATTAATTCCCTTACAAACATTTTATTACTCACAAAACATCTGGCGTCTCAATCGCCATGTTTATTTTATTGCAATTAAAACGGACACAGTTTGGAAATATTTTGATTGTGGGACTAGATTCGTTTACACTTTTTACGAGCTCCTTACCAATACAGATCGAGTTTGTACCATAAACTAACGATTTAAACTTACTGATAATGCATTATCATGTTACTTGTGGAGGCAAATAATCGGATACAGGAGTGAACGGGATTTTTTATGTTAACCTTTTTAGATCGTAGATAGTTTAAAAAAATGTTGTATTTTAAAGAACTTAATTCTGTAAGGAGATTTGCATTTTACATTAGAGGTATACTGCATGGTACATGGTACATCTCGAACTTTACTGCCAAGTGTAGGGATTATGATAAATTCCCCTAAGTTGAAGAGGAGGTCCATAACCCAGTGATAAACCGTCATGAACTGTTGATCTTTGTCATTGACATGAAATAATACACCGTGAAACCCATTTCGTTTTCGTCCCGAAATAAATAAAATGTAGTTTTACAAAGAAATAAAATGTTTAAAACAAAAATAAGTGGTGGACCATTGCAAAAAGCAAACTTTGAAAGAGCATACGAACTCATAGTTGATCAAAACATCATGCCATATAAATGTCGAAGAGGTATTTCTCGTCTAAGAGCGTTTCATGTGCGTATTTTCATTACATTTTATTGCACATCAAATTTATTGAAATATTCCCAGATGTGCAGGTTAGCCGACAAAGAGTAGGAGATCAACGTAGTGCAATCATTAAAAAATGTACTCTTTATTTTTTTTGTTTTTACTTTATACATCGAAAATACGTACTCCTTATGGCAAGTTGTTTTGCCGCGAAATAGATTTCACGGTGTAGGAATAATAACTTACGTTTAGAAACATTTTAATTTGTCCACTTTGTAACGTTGATCATCACTGATTTTAACTAAGTATGTTCAGATTGTTTTTTGTAATAACTTACTAAATTAACTAAAAATTACGGGTTACTCACGTGAATATACTGAAACAATCTCTACTAGTTTCGCGCCGCGACCGCGCACGCTGCTCACGAGGAAGAACCCCTCTGTAATTCGAAACAAGTAGAGATTTTCTCAGTATATTCACATGAGTAACTCGCGATTTTTAGTTAATTTATCTTCAGATAGTTCAGTAACAACCTGTATTATTAATGATGTGTCAACCAATAATATTTACACACACAACACATTAAAATAAAACCTAAAAACAATTTCCATGAAATTCCACAAAGCAATTATTCAAACAGCGATACGTACTATGTATCATCTCCAAACCTCACAATTACTTGAAACATTAGTAAAAAATTCATACCAACTTTAGTGTTACTTTATTGAACTAGATTTAATTACACAGTCCCCTTAGGCGTAACCTTGAACAATATACCTCTACATAGCTACTCATCGGATAATGATACGTTTGAGCAAAAATTGCCCACTGTTGAACATCTTAGTCTTCCAATGGCTACTAAAATAAATGGTTAAGATGGATATCATTAATCACAGTGGTCAAGATTGGCATTCTCAGATAGAAGGACGCTTAAAGATGACGTCATCAGGATGAAGTCTTCTTTTTCTGAATCACACATGGGACAGTCTAGATTGCTCTATATTTTTATACAACGGAATTAACATGAATGTTCCGATTCTTGTTTGTGTTAAGCAAAGAATAAAGGCTTTATATCTTCTTATTTGTGGTATTTTACCAACTACTCAGTATGTTTATAACTTTGAGTGTAGTGGGGATGTCATATTTCTGATTCGCATGGTAAGAATTTTTAAAAAGTCGGAACCTTGAAAGGTATAATTACGCCATTTTTTTTAAGAGGGAAAATCATTGAATGACTGCTCCCGCCTGGGTGAGGCGGGAGGGAGTGTCAGACTCTTACTGACTAAAAACCACCCCGTTCCTTCTCCTGCACGTCGAGCTGGAGCCCCGGTTACCCGTTAGGTTCTCCGCGACATAATTACGCCAATAGGACTGTGGTTTCCGTGTGGTCTATAGAATCTACGAAATAAGTATTAACGATAAATTCATTACTTAGATGAAGCTCAGAATACCTAACCTAGGATGTTTATCTATATTTTAAAATTACTTATAATAGATATAATGTGTACATAATATCTAAATATTGCATCCATTTTGAACCTACTTTATAGTAACTAGCCCGAAACTAAAAAATCCAGACTTGATACTAGTCATTCATCAAATACAGAAAAAAATAACGAACCTTTATTATTAGACTTAATGACAGGCTAATTTAGGTTTTTTTATAATAATGGTGTATTTGAAATAAATGCTTTGACTTTGAATTCACCCTAAGATACGAACGAACAAAAAGTTTTTTAGTATTATTTATCAAAACGAACTCATCATTGATTCTTTTCCTTTGTGATTTGCAATGTAATAAAAATACGCAGTAGTTTGAATATTGGCTTATTCATGATCGTTATTAATTGGATTGGTAGCAAAAACGTCAGGAACAAATAAAGCTACATAATGAGACTATCTCTCCAACTCGATCTCATTTTAAAATACAACAGTTCTGGTTCTATTCTGCAAATCATGACATAACAAATCAAAGATGATCGACAAAATGTATCGCTCGCTATCAAACTTAAAGAATAAATGTTAATATTATGTTCATTGATTATTCTTTGGTCTTTGTAATTTCTTTCTTTGAAACAAGAATTTTATTTTATATACAACATGTGATTTAATCATCAAATATTTTACTAAATCTGTCGTCTTTGATAAACGTAGTTGCAAAAAGACTTTTACACCTTTGACTACATCACTATTTTATTAATTAATCTTTAATTCCCAATCAACTGACTGCACGGTTGGCGCGGTGGCTGGGCAACCGGCTGCCGCGCAACGTGTCGTGGTTTCGCTTCCCGCACGGAACAACTCTTTGTGTGATCCACAGATAGTTGTTCCGGGTCTGGGTGTCATGTATATGTGAACTTGTATGTTTGTAAATGCACCCACGACACATGAGAAAAAGTTACAGTGGGGCAACATTTAAAAAACAAAAATAACTCCTTTAATGTGTATTATGTGATATGTGCACACTTGTGTACTTATTATCTGTAACACCCACACTTCGACAGTTATGCCATGTAAAGGGGACGAGCTATCTGCCGTACACAGGGAGCCATATAAAGAAACAGCTGTGTAAAATTGAAATACCACAATCAAATTCGTTACCAGAGTCTGTATTTCTGAAGGGTATAACCTGGGTGTCTTCAAGGCCCAAGTGAATAGGTTGCTTATGGGACAACGTGCTCCATCGCAGACCGCATCATCGCTTACTACCAGGCGAGATATTGATCAAACGTCGGTCCATCAAATATAAAAAATTATAATATTGACTGATGTATTCACTCCTTAAAATTAAAACAATAATTAAGCTAGGATTACCAACAGTGCTCGTCTGATGAATCTGGTTTTACAATAACCTACTTTTA